TTATTTGGTTCCTTCATTCAGTTGTCTGTCTGTGATACAAAGTTTTTAATAACGGACCAATAAATTCTGGAAAAGTATTTATTTTCTTTTAATTATTTCGTACTTTGGCTGTGCTTTGCTGAACACGTAGTGTATTCTTTTTAATATTCGAAACAACTGACGAACAAGGTGAACATGAAATTGTAATAACATGTTAGTAAGTTTTTAGACACGTATATTCCTGATCGTATGTTGACGGTACAGATAAGTTAATGTTAAACAAAACAGGCCGTTTCTCATATTGTCCAGGGAATATATAAAAGTGTTGCAAACAATCTTGAGTAATTTTTCTCGTCAAATTAAAGTGTTTTGTTAATTATATTTTTAGTGATTTTAAGCTAATTGTATTTCAGTCTATTATGTAGCCATGCCCCTCGAAACCGTTTCATCGATATTAGACTCATTTTCTCGTTATTCTTATATAATCAGTCGCACGACAATGAAATGTTATTATCTTTATAGTCCCTTATTATTTTTTCATTTCATTACCTAATTTCATATTAGGTTTAACGTTCGTTTAACTTCATTATTTTCCTCAAAAATGACATAAGTCCTCTTCAGTTGTAACTAAATTTTTGTTTCACTTAAACCTAGGGATAATATCCTAGCATTTATGGTAGAAACTATACATTGTATTCTAATAATCATTTTTTATCAGGACAAACAAGTCATGTCAGATTCTTGTTTACTTGATAAAGATCTGGGGAATAAGTTCTGTTTGAAGAAAATGCAAGCCACGTTAAGGGCAAAGTTCTCTCGCTATAATAACTCTTTTAGTGTCTGCTGATGTGATTATAGAGAACATTGAATACGGTTCTACGATTCATCGACGATTCATCATTTTCATCATAATTTTTTCACTCATTCATGATTATCACTACAATAAAATTTTAGACAATGCTTACCTACACTCACTTAATAATATCATTGAAGTAACTAAGTAACTATAATAAACTCTACGATCTGTGATTATTGAAAGGTAACACCGAATTCGGTTAAATGTCGACCACGATTCTAACATTCGAGAAAAAAAAATCAATTCAACGGCGCGGCGCAGTATCGCGTGCCGAACAAAAACTGACCAAAGTCGATCAGGGTCAGACCGGAGGATTGATGGATTTTACCACCCTGCTGGTGACAACTCCAGTGAAGAACGCGACAAAAGCTTCTCATTGGATATTTGCGTTGACTGTCAGCGCGGTGATGCTTTTTCCCTGGTGTTTTTTCCGAAAAAGTTGTAGTGCGAGGGGATTCCGTTGTTCGGGAAGACAAAGGGACCATCACGGTTATGATTCATGTGAAATTGATGAAGCGTCCTCCTAGATGTGTGTATTTACCGGGCACGCGCGAGCGCGAGCAGAGAGTTCGGCATTACGCAGATGTTAGGAATATTTCGGCGACCATTTCGTTTCGTTTTTCGAACGATTTTGGTGTTACTAAACTTCATGCAGGCGGTAGAATAGTTTAATTGAAATATAATAATAATAATAATAATAATAATAATAATAATAATGATAATAATAATAATAATAATGTCAATTTATTTTACGGGAAGTTCCTTTTCTTACACGAGAGACATAGAAAATACAGTAGGGGAGACTGGGGCAAAGTGAGCCTTGAGGTAAAGTGAGCTTTTTTATTTATTTATTTGAAAATGGAATATATTTACAAATTCTTGTAACATACTGAATTTATATAATATAACGTTGTTAATTATGCATATTCAGGTACTAAACGATCTAAATTCATTTAAGAAATTAAGATTTAAGTTTTAGGTACCTCCAGATGGTTTTTTTTCAGATTAGCTTTTCGGATAAATGAGTCATAAACATACTATTTTAACACAAACCTTTTTTCTGTGTGTTTAAAACAAGCTTGTAAACATATGTATACACGCGTTCAAAAAAAAATAACCCAAACATTATTAAATAAATGATTTTTCACTGAGTATGCATTTGGGGTAAAGTGATTGGGGTAAAGCGGGCAATTTATGGGCTCTTGAAAAGTGTGTCAAAACTCTTATAAAAAATTCGTTGTTCTTCTGTGAAATCTGTCTTTCAAAAATTATTGAAACCCATTTGTTAAAAAATGCATTTAAATAGTATAAGTGTTTATTTTATTAATAATTATGTATTTGTTTTATTAATAGTACCTATAGGAATTTAGTTCAATTTTTAAGTAGTTTAGTACATTATAGTTAGGATACAAATAAGTATTAAGTGCAATTAAATAAATATTGAAAATTATAATTAAGATAGACTTAAGTTCATCAGTTAATGCTCAGAAGAAAATGTGTTCCTTTAATTAAAATTTAATGACGTTAAAGTTTCATTAAAAATAGTTTGAATCTTTAAAAAATTCTAATAAAATTAATTTAATAATTTTTACCTTCATTAACCCGTAACCTGTGTCGTTGAGTCTGTCACACTTATTTCTGCGGTCTATCGGCCACGTAGATTTCCGTACCTTTGTGAAAATAGTTAAAGTTAAACATTATATATCAGAAATAAGTGTAGGCTTGATGTTGTCAAATTATTTAAGACGAAAATGGGACGACGCCGGTAGGTTAAAACTCATATTTTATTTCAGCTCACTTTACCCCATACAGAGTTCTCTCGATTCTCGTACCTAACTCAGGCCAGCGAGGGGACAATAATCGTAGACTACGCAAAATACTTCTGATTCCCGTGAATACGTTTTTTGCTCGAAGCTCGAGCCTCGGCAACTCGCCTTTGTAGTATTCCGAACGTAGAAAAGGACAAGTCAGAGAAAAACAGAGAGAAAGCTTCTTTTCCCACTCGACTCGGCTGCGTGGCCTGCCTGCGACGCTCTCGCCGACCAATGATTACATTGTAGCCGACCACACAGTCCGATTATGTGTGTACCGTTTCGGCCAATAATAAAAATACGTGTGACTGAAGGTGATCCAGCTACATTTTATTCGTCGGCAGCTGTTACAAATTCAAAGTATACGAACGACCGAGGTAGGCCATGTGCAGTTTGTCAGCACACTTCCCCTTATTCGAGGGAAAGTTGACTTCCTTAGGGCTAACGAAAAGTCAAGAAGGGCTCACTCTTGTATTGCTCGCAGTCGAGATGACACGTACCTATAGGTTTGAGAATAAAACTTTGGTTATTAACACGCCCGTGAGTTTTATGGGATATTCCTATTCGATATTCCGTCGCTTACACAGCTCTCTAGGCAGTCGCTGACGATTGAATGCTTCGACTAATCGTCGTCCATTCCCTCGCTCCGTCCATAGAGTCCATCGAGCTTATACATTGTTGCCCGGCGCGCAAACAACGCTAATGCAACGATAAAACTTTTTTATTTTTAATTCTTTGTTAATGAAACTTTTACTAGTATATTGGTGAGATTTTTGTGATTAAAATGATTCCTAATATGACATAATTTGGATCATATTTACTCATGTAGAAACTTTTAATAGTTCATATTAGTTCATTATCGATTCTGATAAATTATAAGTAAATATGACACAAATTGCGTTGTGTTTGGTATCATTTTAATCAGAAAAATCTCATCATTTGTTTATAAAAGTTTTCCGGGTCACTTTGCCCCGGTCTCCCCTATAGTACGAAGTTTTGACTTAAAAAATTACTTTAAAGTATAAGGTATAGAGTATAAAGTCGCACCTGTCGGAAAAATATATAAAATAATTATATTAATTATACTTAATAGGAATCTCTAAATTAAAATGTTCTCTTTAATAAATGGTTTTTAATTTGTTTCCAGTATTGATAAGAATTTTATTGATATAGATAGATCAAGATCTTCCTTACGTTATAAAGAAGAACTGTATAACATACTTTAGCTTTCGATACAATTAAATAATTTTGTTCACTATGGTATATTAAAGGAAAAATTTTTCATAAAATATTAATATAGGCTTGTGAATTTGAATGAATACAGAGTAAAAGAGTTACATATATGTATACTATTTCCTTTTAGAAAAAATTATGCTGGTATACCGTAATTAACACAACTTCGATTATTGCAGTTTTGATTGCGTTGGTTAAAATAATTGCGGTCATACTTCGAATTATACGTTCAAAATTCTAATTACAGAGACTTTTCGCTACGCCACGCAAGTGGAACAGGAATAATTAGTAGGTATATTCCTTTAAAAACCACTTATAATGATAAAAAGTATTATGGTGTATTCGATATAGGGTTTACAAATGTTTATGACTGCATTATTGATATCAGATTCCTTTTTCGAATCGTTTCATTTATATTCTGCTCTGCAAGCGATGTCTTGAACGTATGGTTCTTTTATTGTTAGATCTGTTGGAAAGTTTTATCGTCTATGTGCTTTTTATTTGAATATGTTATTCTGATATTTTTATCTACAGGTATATTCCATCTTTCTAAACAGGAATTACAGACAGACAATTTATAGAACGTTACATAACAACGTTCAAATATAAATTTATATTATTATTTTGAAAGAAACCAGTCGTAAAAGTGGCTTCATTGGCCATTTTCTATAATGTCACGGAAAATTTCTCTTGTAACACATATGTACCTAGAATTATACAAAAAGCTTTATTGTGGATAGGAAATTGCCTGACTCTACTCTTCATTTCACTACCACGATCTATGACGTACAATGATACACGACTATCATAAGTTCCGACATCAGACGTTTAAAACGCAGATACAAGACGACAGAGATTTTCGAGAATCTTAGTGATAACTACATAAACTGCGGAAGTTTATGCAAAATGGCACAGAATTTTGAATTCCGCACTGGACGCTTTACTACATGATTAATAATACACAAATAGCATGAAACTTGATTAAAATTCTGACTTTATTGCATTCTCCAAGTTGAAGGATGCTATAAATTCATAAACATCCGCAGTTTAATGATAGCATAAAACGGACAGCAACCGATCGTGGAACATCAATTCACCGTCTTTCGTTTCTGTTCGAACAGCTCTCGGTCAGGTGATGCTCTACGTCGACGGTATGAACGGAGTGATGGAACATGGCCAGACGGTGCAGTGGTTGTACACGCTGATAGCCAGCCGCTTTCGACTGGTCGTGAAGACCGCGCTGAAGTTATTGTTGGTGTTCGTCGAGTACGTGGAGACGAACAGCCTTCTGTTGGTGAGAGCGGTGCGGTCCGTGGACACGTCCAGGGGCATGATACCCTGGACGAACGTGATGAAGCTACTGAAGGATTACGACGCGGCCGATACCGAGCTGCTAATCTACGCCACGACGTTGGTCAACAAATGTTTAAACGGCATACCGGACCAGGACACTTATTACGACCAAGTCGACTGTTTAGAGGAGCAAGGGATCGAGGGCATCATCCAGAGGTACATGTCCAAGCAAGGGACCGACCTCGATTTGCTCAGACAGTTCCAAATCTATGAGGCTGTCCTACACCACGAAGATGGGAACGATAGGGGATCCCCTATTCGGCAGCTCGACGATAACATCAGGTATTGATTTTGTTAAGTGCACCAATAAATAATTTACTATTTTTTTTACCTACGAGGCGATGTATATTATGCGACTTTCCGAGTTTCTAACGTGTAAAAGTGGAGCGAAATGTCGGAAAATTGATACGAATGTAGGACACAATATAGATTCTTGACTTCCATAGAAGCGAATACTAATTTCGTCAATAAATAGTCGGTTACTTCTTATTAGTCTTGCATCATAAATAGCCTGCGGATTTATACATTTATAGCATCTTTTAACTTGGAAATGTAATAATTTTTACTAAAGTTTAATACTATTTCTGTATTTTTAAACATTTTTTTTTAGTTGTTTATTTAGTGGCACATTCACTTTTACGGGTTATTAGCGACTACTCAAGATTACATGGTTGTTGTACGATTTACATATTGCATTTGTGATATCTTATATAATATAGTATATAACATATTTACAGTTTAACATTTATATGTTCGGTATATGTCTATTGCTTATTCTGTTGTTAAATTAGGTCAGATTAACTCTTGCGTGTTATGATTAGCGTATTAAAGCCTGTAGTATAGAATTTGAAGTTCTGCTATATTTTAAAGTTTAAATATTAGTATTTGGAATTGTGAAGTAGCATAAACTTTCGCAGTTTAATCATGAGAGATTCGTGATGTGGCGTCCGTTTGCATCGACGCAACATTAGAATCGTTGAAGTACTTAAGTCTCTTATGATGTAACGACCTTCCTTGTACTTATTTATTTATTGCTAAATGACCTAGTATTTGGAGTCGTTGGAATCGTCTAACTATGCATTATTTCAGTAGAAATAAAGAATTGTAGCATGATATTTAAAAAAATTGCTGTGAACTACAAATCTACGAAACTCCTCCACTTAGAGAATAATTACTATTTGCGTATTATGAACCCCCCCTTGCCATACAATTTCTAGAAATAAAGTTTTTCCATATCTCTAAAAGTAATAGAGCTATTCAAAGGGATCAAAGTTGTTGGACCACCCTGTACAGTCCAATTTAGCATAATATAGTATAAAATATGTAGTAAAGAAAGAGTCAACGTAAATCTCGTTAAAATTACTATTATTATTTCAGTAATCGTAAAATAAAAAATCTGATACAATTCGTTATTTTCACAGGTATGGTAGTTCTAGTGTTCCGTCGTAGACCAGCAATAACAGCTAGAGTAGAAGACCCATTTACTGCCACCTATCGAATTACTGTCATCCTAGACTGTATTACTTAAAATAGCAAATAAACGTTGTGAAGTTATACATAAAGACAAGACTGCATGCAATTAAAACTGTAATTCATATGATAGAAAGAGCAGCACTTAATTTCCTGTTACCATTAATATTTCTAAAATGAATACACATTTTTAGTTGATTGGAAGAGTAAACGACGACTTCCTTACTAGCGAAAGGGAAAAAAAGTTACTAAAGAAAAAATGACAGTATTTAGGTATAACCTAAAAGAGTGACAGTATTTAGGTATATGAGGTGATAGTATTTGGGTAGCTGGTAGTAACTGGGATGTCAGTAATTCGAGTGAACACGTTTTACGGATGTCAGTAATAGCTTTCGAAATATACAGGGTGTAACAAAAATGTTGTCCAACCCAGAAATGAGGCAGTCGGGGGGTGAATTGGAACAAGTTTTTCCTTAGCAATAGTGTAACCTGAGGCTTCGTTACCGAGATATTACCGAAAAACCCCGACCAATCAGAGCGCGAGTTTGCCAGCCGAGTTCCCGCGGTAGCGTTGGCTACAAATAGCAGCGCGTAAGGAAAAACTTGTTCCAATTCACCCCCCGAGTGCCCTCTTTCCGGGTCGGACAATATTTTTGTTACACCCATTATTTTTGAAACTAATGAATTTATAAACAAAAGTAGAGGTTCAGAAAGTTACAACAAATTTTTCCTTCAATTAAACATATTAAATAATAATAAATACAAAGAAAAACTTATGTTTTTGGTCAGTTAATACAAAAATTATGCAATAATGTCAGTGTCATTTCTAAAAGTGTCAGTAATTGGGTGTTTTGCCATATTATCGAATTTTATATAATTCGTCGAAGAAACAAAGACAAAAGACTCGAACATTTGGTCTGGAGTCCGGCAGGTTGGTGTAGCAATACGGCTACAAACCCTACCGCTGGGAGACTCTTGATAATTTGTCGCGGTCAAGTCGCATCGTGAGTATCGTGACTACATGTGCGAGATTTTTTTTGCGTCCGCTGAGCCCTGAAGTAGAGCTTTTCTACCCCCACGTCACTCGGGAAGATCCAAGAATATGCCTTGCCCTTCAGGACACAACGCCTTCGATGAATCTCGGAGAAGCGCGACATGACACGAAGCTTCGAAAAAATTCGAGAAGCGAAACTCTTGAAGAGTTTTTCGAAAAGGTCAACTCGTACGGTACAGTCGCAATCGATCCATCGACCATAATAATACATTCGCAAAATCGTTCAAAAAATAACATTCGACAAGACTCGTTCATCGAAATTTCCATAAAGCCATTGCGGTTTTCGATGAAATCATACAATTCTTCTATAATAATGATTATTTTGTGAGTGATATCGTTGTGGGGTTCATCAAAGAAAACATATTCATTACCAGCAACATTAGAAACTTTATTTATTTGAAGAAAATATGAAAAAACATAATATAACACAAAATAAACTGCGAAATTTCTATAATGCCACATCTTTTTTTAAATAAATAAACTCTAAATGAACAATAGTTTCTTTCTTATCTCTAGATTCGTAGTTAGTACAAATACTATTTCTCTGAATTACTTGAAAAATTCGACTCGGCATTGATTCATCAATGGATGCCTACGCTTCAGAAACTGCCTTTGATAGGTCGTTGATTGAATTGTATTGTTTACAATTTCCACAAACCTTCCTTGCGAGTATTCCCCATAGATTTTCTATGGGGTTCAAGTCCGGAGAACAGGCTGGCCACTTCAAAACTTTAATATCTTTTTGACTAAACCACTGCTTGGTACGATGTGATGCATGAACTGCAGCATTGTCGTGTTGAATACTGAAGTTATCATTGTCAATTTCTTCAGTGAGTGGTATCAAAATTAATTCCAATAATTCCGTGTATTGATCGGAATTCATTTTAGGAGAAATACGACAAATGGGTGTGTTTTTATCGAATGTAAATGCAGCCCACACCATTAACGTACCACCACCAAAATTACGACTCATTGCAATATTTTTTTGTTTTTTTTTTTATAAATCATGCCAGTACAATTTATAACCATCCGGTCCATTGAAATTAAACTTCTTTTCATCCGAAAAGATAACATTTTGCTATTCATTACTCCATGACATGTGTACTTTTCCAAATTCAAGATAAGCCTCTTTGTGATGGGGCTTTAGACTTGGTTTTTGCAGCATTTTCGACCATCGAAACCGCTTCGAAGTTTTTAATACTTGTTGGACACGTCTCGTGGATACTGGCAACTCAAGGTCATTGCGAAATTGTGATGCACTTTTCGATTCTATGGCTGCACATCTCATAAGTAACGAACGTTGCCTCTTAGTCAGTTTCTGGTTTCCTCCTTTAGGGTGTTTCTTACCATAATTTTCACCTAGATTTATGTAATTGTCTATGACAGTATCTGAACGATTTAGTTTTTTTGCTATTGCACGATTAGAACAACGCATTTCCTTGTAAGCATCAATCGGTGCCTTTTCTTCGCTTGTTAATAAGTTTCCTCGCGGCATTTTGATAAAACTGAATTTAAATATAATAAGTATACGGTTTCTATAAATTAAAAGATTAATTTGAACAATAATACTTACATTTGAATTGGTTTGATCACGGTCTGTAGTAGCTACTCGTACGGAATTTACATAGAAACTACATAAGTGGCTTTATAGAAACTGCGCTCTTAAATTGTGCTTCGTGCAGAAAAAGGTCCAAACAGACACGGAACGTAAACATTGCGGAGCAGATAAAGTATTCCATGGAGACTTAATATTAACAAAACGTAAACACAGACGGGAAAAAGCAACAAATTTTGTAATATTTTTAAAATATAAACGAAAATGAAGACGGCTTTATGTCGAGCAGTGTAGTTTAACTCGAGCCTAGTTTTCGTTGAATTTTAGTCATTGAATAGAAATCATATGATTTCTATTCAATAACGAGAAACTTGAAACAAGTGCCTAATATTAATTTAGCGGGTAACAGTTACAACCGTAAGCGTACCGCGACGGCGGAGCCTAGGATTTACAATTCCAGACGGATTCAAAGGAGAATCCGCGCGAACGGACGCGGCATCCAGCGTTAAGACTTCGTGAAACTGTAACATACAACTGACAAGTACCATGGTTCCGTTTATCCCCCAGGAAGACGCTGCGGAACCGGAAATCGCTGGTGGATTCGCACGAGCGTCGAAAATCCCGCAGACACTCGACCGGTACGTCCCCGTTGTCGATGTCCTTGAATGCCCGGCTAAGTCCGCGGCTGAACCACTCGTTGGGTCTGAACTCTCTGAACAACACGCTGAACTCGAGCCTGCCCGACGACGACGATGAATCGAGCAGTTCCCAAAGCTCACAGGGACATCTTGGCGAGGTTCAGCTGAACGGTAGCTACAAGGAAAACAAAGGTAAACACACCACCAAGCGATCCTTCTAGTTCCCATCCTCCAGCTGTCGAACGAAACCAAGATTCTCTCTCTAGCATTGCCCTCTACGCCACGCGCGTGTTATCGATGCACGCCGCAAATCCGTTCGTTAACGATTCGACCGCACGATGAATACGAACTTCGACGCCCACGAGCGGCGATTTCCGCGTTAACGGATCGTCCCTCGAAAGGCCCCTGAGACCTTGCGGTTTCCAGTTCCCCCGTGCGTTTCGTTGCGGATGCAGCACCGCGATCGAATAGAAACCGGCCGCCCGGAAACGACGACACGATGGGGCGAAAAACGACGTCGATGGGAGGGGGGGCGTGATTGAGGACGTTTATTCTATCGCGGAAAACGCGTGAATTGACAGTCAAGGCGGTCAAGTAGGAACGTACAGGAATCGCAGCGTTAAGAGTGTCATTTCTTCTAAAAGAGATATGGTAACTTGGACGCAATTAGTATTTTTTACTTGTAACTCATCGAACTCTATCGTAATCTATCGCACACTTGTTATTTTGGTCTCGTTGGTGAAGTGAGGGAAAGATACTCGCGATGAATTGAATTCATTGGTATACCGTCTTTGGGTGGTTTAGCCTCCGAGGCTGTAAATTAAGCTAAAGGGGCGAACAGGTGTGATTCGACGGGAAGGAAGGAAAGTGAACGATAAGCGGGGTTGGTTCGGGTAAATAGTAAATTACGGATCGTCGCCGAAAATGCTTGGGGGCGTGTGTATCAGCGACGGGCAGTTAAGAAGAGAAGTGATTTATTGCGGCTTTCAGTGGATGTTGGCGTGACACCGGCGTTAAGACGCCGAAGGGAGCGAGCGGAGAGACAGAGAAGCTTTATCAGGGAGCAACAAGAGGCCACGGCGAATATGCGAGCATCCGTGGGCCATTCGGACGATCAGGAAGGTTAGTACTTGATTTCTGTCTTCGGTACTTATATTCCACGCGGTATTCTTGTACTGCATCAATGATTCTTTTCTGGAACGAATGATTAATTGGACGAAAATACTATAATGAATAGTAGCATATGATCTGTCTTTACTGTACTTGGAAGTGTGAATGAATCTTCTGAACTTTACTATGATAAAGAATAAATAACGTTAATATTGGAGTATAAGTACATTAGTAATTTTTGCTAAAATAATAGGGAACACGACATTGTAACAGTGTTACGTGAAATTTAGAATTGAACTTTTTTTCCGCCAATTCTTATTCTATTCCATACATTATTTACCTCCAAAGTTTCTAAATTTCTATTTTCACGTAAGGTATTTGTATATTCATTATTGCATTTAACTTAATGTATTATCATTTCGGTAAAGCTGTATAATTAATTATAACATTGAGTTAGTACTTGAAAGAGAACACTGTATCGAAGACTTATTTCGACAATTCTTTTAATGATTATCTGATATTAACATAGGTACAAAAGACTTTCGCTTTTTAAAAGATTTTTAAACATTTACACAATTAACTTTACTTACTCTTTCAATTGCAATCTTAATATATTAATGATTTTAAGATTTAGCCATTATTCAAAACGTAACCACAAATGAAATAGTTTAACCTGTTTAACTTGTTTGACTATAATATACCAGAAATAGTTCAGTCTGTTTAACCAGTCTGACTATAATATACCAGTTCTACTTACTTTAGTGCCTGCGAAGGCTACCGAATACGTAATTTATTTTCTGTCAAGTTTTTAAAATTCTTTTGTTTCGAATTTCGAATTCTTTTCACACAAATTAACATTACTCATTTTCTCAGTCTAACCGCTGGTTACACGCATGCTTAGTCTAAATTATTCATCAAAACAGTACCCATTTATTGTCTTTACACTCCTACAAAGAATCATGTGTATTATGTAATAACGAATTTGTTGTTGACATCGCAAAGGTCCTTTCCCGACAAACGGACTGCGTTACACGAACGGCACGTCATACGACCGAAACGCGGACTCACCCTCGAACAAGTTGTCCAGGACGAACAGCAGGAAGGATTTGACGCCCCTGATGAATGCCGCGAACAAGCTCGATTCCGAGGAGAAGAAACCTTGGTACGGCAAGAGCCCGGACGAGGGTGTCGAGTGCGACGAGGGCAATCACACCGACGAGGATGAGGATCGTCGAGTGGTTTTACAGCTGAAGAGGGAAGGAACCGTCAAGGATCTCACACAAAAGCTGGCGGCTCAAAATCTTATACCGAGCAGTCCGGTCGAGGAGAAGGTTTCCAGGTAATTTCACCACCTGACGCGCGAAATAGATTAAACTTTGCTATCTCACGCGTGTTCCTGTCGATTTTGTGAATCCTTATCATGCACTGTTCAAATGTTACATTAGTATTGTTTAGTGTGAGCTATATTTACATGCTAGGACGGAAAAGATGGTCTAAACTGAATGTTTGAGTTAAGTTTACCAAATTAACCGTACATAATAATTAACACAAGTAGTTGATTGCTTGTGTACTCTTTTATTGTTCTATTAAGTTTCTAGTGTTACAAGATAATATTAATTTGCTTTGAGAAATTGGATAAACACTAAAATGGTAATACATTTTTATTATTTACCATGAATAAGTGTAAATCAAAATAATAAAGATAGGTCCTTTTATGAAAACTGTGTCTCTTGAAAGACAGCAGTCTAATACTCTTCGAAAGGACAAAAGTCAATAGAAACGGAAGGATACTTCAGAAAAAGGTATAGGTGGACATTGGGGCTATTAAACGACCCGAACAGCATCAACGTGGAGTCAGGTTATCCTGTGAACCTAATCTGAAGTTGCCCTCTTCGAATGTTTTAATTACTCAGCTGACCAATTCCAAATTCTTTCACAAAAAAGATATGCTTTATAATGAAGCACCACACAATACATCACTGATGATGCCAGTTGCAATGCTGGGGAAATGTTGGCATAACTTTAAAAAAGAGACACTTCTTACAGCAAGTCTCAGTAGTAATAACTCTTAATATTTCAGTAGTATGAATCATAAAAAATCATTGGAACTCATAGTTTCCTGTAATACGTGAGAATCCACGTACTCTAGCCACAACGCCATTCATCATTCCGCCACTAGAAACACCTCCTTTCCCCATTTCCAGGATAGGTGATATGAGCGGTCTGATCTCGAAAGCGAAGGAGGGCCTAGCCAAGTCTAAGTCGAAAGCGGACGTGTTGAAATCTCCGACCGGCGACAATCTGCCGAAACTACAGGAGACCAAGAAATCGGAGAACGAGCTGCACTGGGAGGAGCTGGTTAAGAAGCTGAAGCGACCGTTGGCGCTCTGCGATTTGGACTTTACCGATCTGAATTCCGACGACGAGGTCGACGTTCTTGGTCCCGTGAACGTGACCAACGGGGTACCGCCGCCTCCACCGCCCATGGTACCCCCACCTGGTGGTATACGCGCTCCTCCACCACCACCCTTAGGGGCACGACTGCCACCGCCACTTCCACAAGCCCCACCGCCCTTATTCGGCGTGAATCTGAAGTCCCCAAGGTCGCCAAACGCTAATGACACCAGCAACACGCCAAAGAGTCCGCCGCCGACCCTGACCAAGAAGAGCAAGAAAACGGTGAAGCTGTTCTGGAAAGAGGTCAGGGACGATCCTATTATTCTATCCAGGCTCGACAAGAACAAGATGATATGGGACGAGCTGTCCCCGGTGCCTGTGGACACGCAAAAGCTCGAGCATCTGTTCGAGAGCCGCGCCAAGGATCTCATCACCAAGGTGAGCAGTTTTTCGTTGTTCGCACTTTCGCGCCATGATTCCTCCAGAAGCTTCTCGTTGGTTAGGTAGTAATTGTCGATTGACAGTCTCGTGGAACGGGCCGCTGTTTAGGGGGACTCGTAGGAATTTCCTGTAGGCTCTGGGTGTGTTACTTAAGAGTATGGTTTCAGTGTATACAGGATATTATGATTTGAGAATTTGCTATGGCTAACCCTATACTAAAGCGATTATTTTGCTGTAGGAAAAAGGGGGTTCTCTTCGTGAGATATATGGAGAGGGGCTTTTGTGACAGGGGGTTGATCTGTGACTTCAAAGTCACGTAGTCATGCCTCTGCGTATATTTCATGTGTCAGGTTCTATTTCAGTGATATTGTGTATAGTAATGGCTTCAATTCGTTAATCAACTTCAAACTTTCTATTGTAGACGTGTAGTGCGTAAAGACGTACAGGGTGTGGTCGAAATAGTGAAACAAAATTGGAAGATGGTCTTTCGTTACGCAAAAATAAATCGAACGTCCAGCATAAAATATTCTCGTATGAGACCTAGTTCCCGAGGATATTAATGTTTAAATTCTATTGCATACTTTTGCTTTATTTTTTGCATAGGAAATTACCTACTTGCTTACCATTTCGGCCGTACCCTCTATGATTGTTCCATAATTTTTGTTTTTGAAAAAAGATTATAAATAAACCGTAGCAAACTTGCTTTTTAGTAAATATTCTTTATGTTTAATATAAGTTAGAAAATTCACGGTATTATTTAGGACAGTATGAGAAAACGTTCTAACAATTGAATACAGTAGACCCCTATACAGGGTGTAACAAAAATGTTGTCCAACCCAGAAATGAGGCAGTCGGGGGGTGAATTGGAACAAGTTTTTCCTTAGCAACAATGTAATCTAAGGCTTCGTTACCGAGATATTAACGAAAAACCCCGACCAATCAGAGCGCGAGTTTGCCAGCCGAGTTCCCGCGGTAACGTTGGCTACAAATTGCAGCGCGTAGCCACCGCTACCGCGGGAACTCGGCTGGTAAACTCGCGCTCTGATTGATCGGGGTTTTTCGTTAATATCTCGGTAACGAAGCCTCAGATTACGTTGTTGCTAAGGAAAAACTTGTTCCAATTCATCCCCCGAGTGCCCTATTTCCGGGTCGGACAACATTTTTGTTACACCCTGTATAACACGGGTTGATATAACACGACAGAAAAATTGTGACTGTGCTCGTATAACACAGTAGAGGTTTACATTTTCACATAAAATTCATTTTAAATTTTTTATAATTAACCCTTACTCTTTTTTTCGTAATGAACCCTTACATAATCCATATACCTGTAATCTATTAAACTTGTATACCACAGTTTCATATAAATAACATGGAACGCATCCCCGTGTAATAGCAGAGTCTACTGTAGCTGAATCAAGAATTTGACAGAAATGTTATTTAATGTTTCTAACTGGACGCATATTTATATCTACCCAAAATCAATATTTTACCCGTGAAAAAAATTCACTATTCCTTCATCAAAAGTGTCAAAGGTATCCGTTACACCACGGGTATTTACACAAATCCTCAACCTGTTATTTTCAATCGAGCAAAAAGGTTCCGCGTACAAAAAACCGTCACACGATCAATAATTCTTCCCCCGCATCGAAAGGATTAAATACCCTTTGAATTCTCCGACCATTCACGATCGAGAATACACTGGATCGGCGTATTCTAAATCTCCGCTAGGTATCAAAATATAAATTGGATTTTCGAGCGAAGCTTCGGTATCGTAACTTTCTCCGGTCCGTATCCGAGGCGGGAACAATGGACGTGGTAGGATTTAACGTCCATTCGTCGATGAAAAACTACTTATTCTTCAAGCTCCCGGCGGTTTCTCAAAATTCCATTGGTCCCGCCAGGAAATTTAATTACCGTGGGGGAATGCCAGGGTGAAAAAAAAACGGAGTTGAGTACTCCCTCTCCCCCTGTCCACATGAATCTTCGTGTTTCTTTGTTTCGGGTCTCGACCACGAGGCGAGCGTGTCCGACGTTAGTCATTCCGCGATTCCCGATCCGTTAGCCACGGCGAAAAGACCGGGGAGAACGTTCCTGCCCCTTCGCCCGTCCCGTATCCCGCCGTGAGAACCTTTTCATCGCGGGGGAAATTCCGTGGGCCGCGTGCAGCGGCCCTACAATCCAGTATACGCAAAGCTATGTGGCTGGTTAACCGGCTCACCGCTTCGGGGTTGCGAGCTTAAAGAGGATGAAACCATCGTGACCAACCGGGGGTTAAGGGCATCGTTATTTTTGGGATTTCTCAAGTTTTGTTCGCGCGATATGTACCTCTTTTTTGAACGTATTTTTTTGAGTGAGAAAGTAATACCTTCAGGGGGAAGGGAATGAATGATGGTTCCAGTGGGAATTTTTTTGAGATTAGTTTCGTTTACGGTTTGCTCTGCTATTGTGATAATATCTCCGAATACTTTTTTGGGGGTGAAAGTGACACCTTGGGGGAGGGGGGAGTGAGTATTGGTTTCAGCGTCAATTTTTTTCGAAATTAGATTTGTTTACGGTTTGTTTCGCTGTGTGATAATAGTTTCGCATATTTTTGTGTTGGTGAAAGTGATACCTTCAGAGGAGTGAGTGTTGGTTCTAGCGTGCACTTTTTTTTGTGATTAGTTTCATTTACGGTTTGGTTTTCTGTTATGATAGTATCTTTAAGTATTTGTTGGGAAGTGTATATGGTATCTTTGGAGGGGTTAAGGTTAGTTTTAGCATGAATTTTTTCAAACATTACGTATGTTTACGGTTTCTTCCACTGTTGTGGATAATAATATCTTTAGATATTTTTGTGGGCGTGGAAGTGGTACCATTGGAGAAATGAGTATTGGTTTTAGAGTGAATTTTTTTCGAGATTAGTTTCGTTTATCGTTCGTTCTGGTGTTATGATACCTAGTATCTTCACCAGCTATGAATTATTTATGATTGATAGAGTACTGGGAATGTTTACGTATAATTTATATTTTTATCAGTTGATTTGAAATTAACCTGTCTACGGAAGGGTATATTTACGAACGCTTCGTTTAATTTTGCTTAATAGAGATTGTTTGTCATCGTTTATATATTTTCATATTTCATGAAGGAATAATTGGGGGCCTGATGTTTATTGACATAGGATTTGGAAGTAAAACAGAAAGTTACGTTTGTATTTTTGCTTAATAGATGTAATATATTATTTTATGTCTCTTATATTTAGTAATAAGTATTGAGTAATCTTTTTAAGTATTTCCAAGCAATTCAATTATAAAAGTTAATATTGGATAGAATTTTATTTACTGTATAAAAGCTTTTACTGTATTAGTACTAGCAAACACAGAGATAGTATTAAACTTCACTAAAATTTTTATTTTATTATATTTTCAAATCATATAATATAATATAAATCCACAAATATTCGTAGTCTATTTATAACCGTTATTGATGGTAGGTCTGGGTTAGGTATTATTTTTCAACAAGTATTCTTTTTCACAACAATATGATATAAGTTGGTAGAAAAGAGAGTACGACTGATGAAAAGAAATGAATGCGACAGTATAATCAATGTTTACCACAAATAGAAACAGAAAGTAATAGTCAGATAGCACATCCCCTATAAAAACACATATATCCCACAAATTTTTTGACAATGAAATTACGATGAAAAAATATTTACAATCGTCTATATGAGTTTTACACAGTTATTTTCTGAGGTCGGTGATGTTCGCACCCCCAAATGCAAAATTTTATGAAAAACAAGCAGTATTCGTTTCTCCGCGATTTGTCCACATTTGTCCCACCACAATTTTCGTTTGTCCACCCTTAAAAAAAAAGTTATAAACAAATAAAGAAATTTGTCACCAGCACCCCCGTGAACATTTTTCCTTAATTCTCAAGTTGAGTATGATTGTCCGCGATTTGTCCATATTTTTTTTAATGGAATGCTATGTTTTTTTTATTGCGATGTGCTGGCCGGCGTTGGGACGACTTCAGCGAGCTATCATTGAAGGTCATGCAAGGTCAAATGTGGTAGTAAAATAAACTTTCTTACATTACAGTAAAAACTCTCAGTTTTACATAAACGCATGGTCTTGTAACATTGTTTATGTTGTGGCAATACATCGCGTATAGCTAGATATATAAACATCTCATCAGTTCGTAACATTAACATGAATCGGTAGTCAGTCTCGATCGATTGGTAAGTCAAGTAGCTGCGTGATCATCAAAATGAAGTTTTCTTTCGAAGAGCAAGTGGATATGATCCTTATTTATGGAGAAATGCGACAAAATTCGATAAGCACGACGGGTGTCCAGTACATTATGCTCGGAGAGTAAGAGATACACTGAACGAACTTTACCCAAATAAATGGATAGGACGTGGAGATCTTGGCCACCTCGTTCTTCAGATTTAACCCCATTAGATTTTGTTCTCTGGGGAACATTGATAAATGCTGTTTATCAAGAAGTACCCACTGCACCAGAAAATATGAAACAACGGATAGTTGCAGCATGTGCTAGAATAAGTTCAGAAACGATAAGACAATGCACGTGATGCAGCGATACGAAGATTGCAACTTTGCATTGACGCAAACGGTCATTACTTCGAGCATCTCCTGTAATGTAAGAAAGTTTATATTACTACCACATTTGACTTTACATGACCTTCAATGATAGCTCGCTGAAGTCGTCTCAACACCGGCTATCACATCGCGATAAAAAAAACATAGCATTCCGTTAAAAAAAACAGAGATCACCTTGAAATCTCCTCTATGCCTTCGCCTACGCAGAGAATGTTTGTGTCACAATATGCCACCCTCTATACCGTGTAAGTTTTGTATATAACATTTTTTCATATTATTACAAATAACGGCAATATTCAAAGTGGACATAGTTATTGCCCCACCCTGTATATTTTCGACGATTTATGACTTAAAAAACGAAATCAACTGTGTCTGGCTACGCACGGTCTTTTTCAC